ATTCAATGCTTGGCCAATATCAATGTCAAATGTGCGTTTACATGAAAGATTAATTAAATCATAGTTCTCGTATGAGTTCATTTTGTAATTAGTCGTATATATCTCATATATGTTTTATTTTATGTTCGAAGAAAATGATGTGTAGCAATAGTATTAAGATTCTTTAGCTTAATGTGTTGAAAGAAACTAAGATCATTTAGAGAATACGGAGTACTATACAATTATACCCGGCCTATCAGAATAAATCATTATATGTTATATAGACATACAAAGTATATTCTAGTGAGAATGAACGCTCTTTCTTCTAAATTGTGTATTCTTTTAATGTCCAACACAAAACAAAATCCACTATGTACTATGGAATAATTTGTATTACATAGTGTTTTCAAGTAATAACTGGAGTAGAAAAGACAAATAGTAAGAGTAATAACAATAAGAAATTGAAGCCACAATAATAATGCATAGAAATACGGATCTTTTAGGATAAGTCAATGCATAATTTTGTATAAATGGTCATCTGAGCTTCAAGCCTTGAAAATTCAGCAATTAGGCAATGTGAAAAAATCCCAAACATATACACTGTTGTGCATTATGGCTTTGTAACACCAATAGCAGTACTCTGGATTTGCAAAATCTTGTCAAATATGTCCCAATTCATTTTTAGGTCTGTAATAATATAGGAAGGCCCAAAGTAATGATCCTATCTTTTACTCGTATCTTCATTTTCCATCGGTTGGTTATATAACGAATCTTTAAGCTATATTATTACAAAGAAAGAAAATGAGAGTCACAAGGATTAATGATATAGTCATACACATATAACTTTAAATACATAGCTCATATATAAATTGCGACAAAAATTAAATTGTTGCAAATTTACGGAACAAATATAGGAAGTAAATAGTTGATTAGTCCGGTAGGTTTTAGATTAAAAATTGCGATAGCATTGAAGTATAACAATTAACAACTTCCAAAGGCCAAATAATAAGTAGTAACAATCTTATTAGAAAGATGGGAAAAAAAAAGAGTCAAACACCATAGGCCGGTGGATTTAAGCATCCAAGTCAACGCCCCAAAATGAAAAGACAATAAACTTTAAAATTGAGTAAATTTGTGATTTTATGATTCTTTTTGAAGAATTCTAATTGCTTTGACCTAATTTCTTTTTACTCCGTTTCACAGATTGATTGCTTTGACCTTTTTCTTGCCTAATTGCCTTTATATTTTTTCATAATGTGACAACATTATAACAATGTATAAAAAGAAAGACTTTGGTTAGTTTCTGACTTTGACATATTTCAATACAATGGTGAAATCAACAAAAAAAAAACAAGTGTCACCTCAATCAAAATAAAGTTGCTACAACTAAATTCTACTAGTATTATTTATTTCTATTTTTTTTTAAAAAAATGTAGATGAGAGTAAATAAGCTAAGAAAACGACTTTTTTTTTTAATATCTATATTTATTCATGTAAATACATGCAAAATAATTAGTTAAATAGGTTCAACGTGCTCTATAATACAGTCCTACTACCCACGCACACTTAATATAAAGATAAGAATATCATAATTAAATTTAGGATTATTTGGCGATAAAACACTAGCTAGTGAATCTTTCAATGATAGAAGGTTCTAATCTCATCAACTTTGTTTGGATGACGAAACATTTCATTTCATATGACATAAAATGTGCATTGAAGATGTACGTTTTGGTTAAGATAGATGAAGATGAACTATCAAATCATGGAGCAAAGATATGTATGTGAGTGTGTGACTTACTATTGAATTATTCGACGCAACCTTTTTGCTTTCAACATATTGATCTCTATCTTTAATATATACTTCATGCCCTCAAATCATAGCAACAAAAGACTACCATGATAAGAAAAGGACAGTCATTTATTACCTTAGAAATTTAAACAAAGATAAAACACAAAAAGTCATTCATCCTAATTCGTGTGATTTCTTGGCAAAAGGGTGTCAAATTCCACTTTCTCCTTCCAAGTTAAGATTCTATTGAAAAGTTTAACTAAATCTAATATATATAAATAAAGTAGGCATTTTCGGAGATCATTGAGAGCGCCACATAAGAAAAGGTATATTTTTGACCAATTAAAATTTAGATTTCTATTTTATTTTAGAATTAAAAAAATCACTCGCCACCTAAACAAAAGCGACGAATGAAATTTTAAATTTTTGGCACGTAGGTAAAAACGACGAATAGTAATTTATTAGGATTTTGATTATTTAAGAACACTAAATTTTATCATTTTTATTTGTTACAAAACTAAAAATTATCTTTAGATATTAGGATTTATATTATTTAAAAAACTAAAAATTATATTTTTATATTTAAAAAATATAAATTATCATTTGATGTTAATGGTTCTATGTAAATATCTGATGATATGATACTTTCATATAAAATTTTAAAACTTATAATGCAAGAAAAAAATTAAGAGATCACCAAAAAAATATTTATATACAAAATGTATATAAAAATTCGTGAATCGCACGCCAGTACGCCACATAAGCAAAAGTAATATTTCGACCAATGAAAAATTAGATTTATATACTTCCTCCTTTTTTTTATTATTGCACCATAGGGGTTGGGTACAAATATTTTGATAGTGGAAAAAAGTAAGAGAGAGAAAGGTAAAAATACAAAATTGCCCATGTGACATATTGATAAATTAAAAAGTAAGTGTGAAAAAGCAAGGATATGTTGGGTATTTGTAGTGTGAACACAAATAATTTTTTTCCTGAAGAAGAAATGGTGCAATATTTGTGAAACTTCCTAAAAAGGCAAGTGGTGCAATAATAAAATAACGGAGGAAGTATTAATTTAGAATTTTAATTTTCAGTTGCCATTTAAGAAAAAATTATGTATATTTAAAACCGTGCATTAATAAATTACAAATAAATTAAACAAAAAATAGTAATTTAAGATTTAAATTATGAAAAAAAAAAACCAAAAATTATCTTTTATATTATCTTTTACATTAGGATTTATATTATTTTAATAAATAATTAGAAATTAAAAAAATATATTTTGATTTAATGATTTTATCTAACTATCTGATGAATGAGATAATATTTATTTCAATTTATAAATTCAAGTTCTATATACGTTAAATTTGAATAAGAATAATTTAAAACTTAACAAAATATTTTACCTTAAATTAATGTTAAAATAATAGAATAGAAAATAAAAACAAAAAAATATTAAGAAATTACCAAAAAAAAAATACAAAATGAAATATTTAAAAACCGTGCATCGCACGGGCTTATATCTAGTAAAATCTAAATTAGGCACCTTACACCGAATGATTTATCACCTTTACTCTTGTATGTATATATATATATATATATATATATATATATATATATATATATATATATATATATATATATATATATATATATATTCAATACACAATTAGATTATGACCATGTTATTTTCATCTTATAAAGATAGAACAAAGTATTTAATTTTATCAATAAATTCTACTTTATAAATAGATTAATTTTTAATATATACATTTATAAATATAATTTATATTTAGTAAAAATAATTCAATTTCAATATTAATAATTTAAGGTCAGTAGATAATCAGGGGGAGAGAACAAGGAAGTATGCTCATAAAAGAAACTAGATTATGCCAAATTGTTACAGTAATTGAAATTTTGTTTTTCTATCCTTAAATTTTCTTATACATAATCGTCATAGTACGATAATTAATTAGCCGGTCGTATTGGCTAATAATTTTACACTCTTTCATATCCTCCCTCATCCCCGTCAATATTCTTGTTTATCCTCACTTAAGAAACATTAACCAAAATAACCTTATTATTTTAAGAATTAGGGTGTGTTTGGTTGAAAAATGTCTTATTCCATGAAAATGATTTTTATCATTGCTCTTTAATTTTCTTTTTCTTTTTCTTTGTTTGGTTTGTAAAGGGGTATAAAACCTTTTTCTTTTAAGGGGAAGGGACACCACATTTCCTCCCTCCCCCCTTTAATTTCCTCTCATCTATCCTCTTTCTTAATCTCGTCCCTTTCATTATCCTCTCTCCATGCATAACTTATCTTACACAGAACCAATGAAAGGAAACTAATTTTGCAAGAGTGTTATCCATAAAAAGTAAATTACATTTGAAAATGTTTTATACGAAAACAAATGGAGGCATAGAGCCTGTTCACATTTACTAAACTGAATTGGTTGGAGCTGAACAGAACTGAACTGATTAGAGCTAAACTGAATTGAACTGAACTGAATATTTTATGAGAGAAGGAAATTAAGAGCAGAACTGAAATGAACTGATTGGAGCTAAACTAAACTGAACTGAAATTAACCTGAAGTGAACAGGCCCTTAATATTCTATATGAAACCAAATGGAGCCTTATTAAAAATCAGGGAGTGTTTCTTTAGTTTAGCATTGTTCAATGGCCACATAAAATATACTAACTCCGCTTCGCATTACTCGCAACAAAGGGGTATTATTTGTGAGATATAAACTATTCGTGCGAGTAATGCGAAGTAGAGGTAGTATGATAATGATAACTTGATGGTAGAAGGAGGTGGGCCAGATTAATTGAAAGTCTTGCAATTTAAAGATCCATAAATAAGGCCCAATGAGAGTCCAGCCCACAAATGAACAAAGCCCACAAGCTGTATCTAAATAAGTACCTTCTCTAGTTATTATAGTTTGTTAGAGGAATACTAGATTGTTGCCAACATTCATCTATATATAGTGGTATTGTCTTTATAGTGCCAATTATTGTATCACTATAAAGACAATACCCTTTAATAATAAACTTGTTTTTTTTTTTTCTTCTTATTATTATTATGTTCATTCATTCGTTAATATGATCTACTCTCTCCTTATAATTTTAATTAATTTTTCAAATATACTTGCACATTAAAAGTAGGAATTTAGACTTTACTTAGAACAATCAATACTCTCTAAAATACACAAATTAATAGAAACATTCAGATTTCATTGACTAATATATATTTCAATAAATAGAGAGGATTAAAGATTTAAAGTAATATGGAGTACATTGAGTAATAAGCGACTACGTTATGTAACATAAACACACTTACATAAGTAACACATACAACTAATGACTTACTACATAAGAAGTACACTATATTAAATTACCATAACTCAAAAGCTAATCAAATGAAAACTATAATGAAATCAAAGAGAAGCTAGCAAATTTTGACTCTGTTTCTCATATCGAAAACCCAGATTCTTAGATTCATCAGCACACCAAACAAAAATCCCAAAAAGTTGTTGCCTTTTCTTGAGCATTTCACAAGCTGAGAAAAACCCTTTTCCAGGAGCTAATCCTTTACTACCATCACTAATAAAACTTGTTAAAATCTTACCCCCTTTATAATTCTTTCTTTGTTGCTCAAAATAATCAATAAACTGAGGAATTGTTGTACTATTATCATATGCATAAAACTGGAAATTAACATAGTCTATAACATGCCCATATTTCTTCCACAAAGTTTGGTAATGAATTTGTACATCTTGATCATCAAATGGAGCAATTGATGCATATTTCACCAACCCTTTTCGCTTAAGTATCGATATCAATTGTCCAATACATTCAGCAAAAGTATCAGGATCGCCTTTGAAATGCTCATAATCGATGTCGATACCATCGAGCTTAAAGTGTTCGATGATATGCGTCAATGAAGAAACAGCGTTGGAAACCCAGGAATTGATTGATTTTGGCTGGAAATAAGCTGGGTTGTTGGAGACACTATCACCTCCTAAGCTTAACCCAACTCTAACATTTGGGTGTTTGTTTTTAATGGAGGAAACTTGGGTAGGAGAGAGATTTATAGTGTCCCAAAAGACGTTGAATTTGCCATTTGTGGGAGTTGGGGATGATGTTGAATTTGTGTAATCGATTGCGAAAGAAAGAATGAAATCAAATTGAAGATTTGGGTTGATGGGTAAATCTGAAAATTTGACGTTAGTGAATTCTGCTCCTATGTATTCTCTAAATAGTTTGATGTTTTCTGCTTTGGTTGGTGAAAGAAAGATGGTGAAGATGATGAAGATTAATGTTAATGCCATGGTTTAGGTTTATGAATGTTTAATCTGGAAATGGTGGAACTAACCTTTATACTCCATTCAAAATATTAAAGAAATGTAGAGTTTTTTTTTTTAAAAAAAAAAAAAAAAAAAAAAAAAAAAAATATTAAAGGTCAAAATTGGACTTAAAAAAGTGTAGAATTGTCAACCGACAGCCGAATGTTGAATCATGGGATTGATGGGAAAGATATTTGGCCTACCAGTGATTTATTACGGAATTTAAAATTAATTTTTACACACTCATTGTGAATTTGTGATAATATCATAATAGTATTGATCAAAGTTAATTTTGATAAATTAAGTGAAGGAGTAGATTTAGGATTGTTACATCAAGGTTGTTAAGAATTACATGTACTTCATATATTACTAATTTTTTATTTCATTTTCGAAATCTTATCTTATGAAATGTTAAAAAAAAATCTTATGAAACATAAAAGGCATGGAAAAGAAAACTGTTATTCCATTATCTTTACCAACCCCTTCTTTTCTCCATTAATTATCGCTACCAATGTATTTTTTTTTTTCTTTATTGTGGATATACTCTTTATGTTGCTTTCCCTATTTAAAACAATGGGTACACATCACACATGGATAAATACAAAGAATTTTATACTTGTAATTCTTTCATTCCAGTAACCATTGTAATTGCATATCATGTTATAGTGCAATCTATAAATCAATAGTTTGTAGTCTATACGATGATAGATTAAACTAAGATGATCGAATTTGTGACACCAGAAATTATGAATCACTAAATCAAACCGCCTTTCAAATAATATTGAAAATGATTGTTTCATACATGGTTATGGACCTTATGGCCCAATTGTTACCACACAAGAAAAAATTAATATATTGCTCCTTCCACTAGATCATTCATTATATTTCATTTGGTGGAATTTTCGTCACTTTTATTTAGAGAATAGTTTTTCAACTTGTATGAATTGTATCTTTCTCAGTAGAGCTGATAATCACTAGCACGATACGATAACATGACCGAAATCGACACAACAAGACACAAAATCAGCCAAAACACAACCCATTTAAAATAAGTAGTTAAATTGTACAATTATCTTACATTTTACATAATTTTTGCTAGCTCTACTCCTTAGTCCTCTCAATAAGCCACCTTATATGCCACTAGTAAATTACTAATACAGTAGTAATACATCAATAACATACATTTTTTTTTTTTTTTTTGGAATTATACATCAATAACATACCAGTTAGAAAATTTTTAACTAATTGAAAAAGATGACAAAATTTTCGTTAAATAAATTGAAAGCCTATCGATACATGACAATGAGGGCAAACTAGATTGGTGCAGAAATCACATGACGTGATGATTGAATACCAATTTAGAGATTAATTTTATAATTTATAAATATAATTTATATTTAGTAAAAATAATTCAATTTCAATATTAATAATTTAAGGTCAGTAGATAATCAGGGGGAGAGAACAAGGAAGTATGCTCATAAAAGAAACTAGATTATGCCAAATTGTTACAGTAATTGAAATTTTGTTTTTCTATCCTTAAATTTTCTTATACATAGTCGTCATAGTACGATAATTAATTAGCCGGTCGTATTGGCTAATAATTTTACACTCTTTCATATCCTCCCTCATCCCCGTCAATATTCTTGTTTATCCTCACTTAAGAAACATTAACCAAAATAACCTTATTATTTTAAGAATTAGGGTGTGTTTGGTTGAAAAATGTCTTATTCCATGAAAATGATTTTTATCATTGCTCTTTAATTTTCTTTTTCTTTTTCTTTGTTTGGTTTGTAAAGGGGTATAAAACCTTTTTCTTTTAAGGGGAAGGGACACCACATTTCCTCCCTCCCCCCTTTAATTTCCTCTCATCTATCCTCTTTCTTAATCTCGTCCCTTTCATTATCCTCTCTCCATGCATAACTTATCTTACACAGAACCAATGAAAGGAAACTAATTTTGCAAGAGTGTTATCCATAAAAAGTAAATTACATTTGAAAATGTTTTATACGAAAACAAATGGAGGCATAGAGCCTGTTCACATTTACTAAACTGAATTGGTTGGAGCTGAACAGAACTGAACTGATTAGAGCTAAACTGAATTGAACTGAACTGAATATTTTATGAGAGAAGGAAATTAAGAGCAGAACTGAAATGAACTGATTGGAGCTAAACTAAACTGAACTGAAATTAACCTGAAGTGAACAGGCCCTTAATATTCTATATGAAACCAAATGGAGCCTTATTAAAAATCAGGGAGTGTTTCTTTAGTTTAGCATTGTTCAATGGCCACATAAAATATACTAACTCCGCTTCGCATTACTCGCAACAAAGGGGTATTATTTGTGAGATATAAACTATTCGTGCGAGTAATGCGAAGTAGAGGTAGTATGATAATGATAACTTGATGGTAGAAGGAGGTGGGCCAGATTAATTGAAAGTCTTGCAATTTAAAGATCCATAAATAAGGCCCAATGAGAGTCCAGCCCACAAATGAACAAAGCCCACAAGCTGTATCTAAATAAGTACCTTCTCTAGTTATTATAGTTTGTTAGAGGAATACTAGATTGTTGCCAACATTCATCTATATATAGTGGTATTGTCTTTATAGTGCCAATTATTGTATCACTATAAAGACAATACCCTTTAATAATAAACTTGTTTTTTTTTTTTCTTCTTATTATTATTATGTTCATTCATTCGTTAATATGATCTACTCTCTCCTTATAATTTTAATTAATTTTTCAAATATACTTGCACATTAAAAGTAGGAATTTAGACTTTACTTAGAACAATCAATACTCTCTAAAATACACAAATTAATAGAAACATTCAGATTTCATTGACTAATATATATTTCAATAAATAGAGAGGATTAAAGATTTAAAGTAATATGGAGTACATTGAGTAATAAGCGACTACGTTATGTAACATAAACACACTTACATAAGTAACACATACAACTAATGACTTACTACATAAGAAGTACACTATATTAAATTACCATAACTCAAAAGCTAATCAAATGAAAACTATAATGAAATCAAAGAGAAGCTAGCAAATTTTGACTCTGTTTCTCATATCGAAAACCCAGATTCTTAGATTCATCAGCACACCAAACAAAAATCCCAAAAAGTTGTTGCCTTTTCTTGAGCATTTCACAAGCTGAGAAAAACCCTTTTCCAGGAGCTAATCCTTTACTACCATCACTAATAAAACTTGTTAAAATCTTACCCCCTTTATAATTCTTTCTTTGTTGCTCAAAATAATCAATAAACTGAGGAATTGTTGTACTATTATCATATGCATAAAACTGGAAATTAACATAGTCTATAACATGCCCATATTTCTTCCACAAAGTTTGGTAATGAATTTGTACATCTTGATCATCAAATGGAGCAATTGATGCATATTTCACCAACCCTTTTCGCTTAAGTATCGATATCAATTGTCCAATACATTCAGCAAAAGTATCAGGATCGCCTTTGAAATGCTCATAATCGATGTCGATACCATCGAGCTTAAAGTGTTCGATGATATGCGTCAATGAAGAAACAGCGTTGGAAACCCAGGAATTGATTGATTTTGGCTGGAAATAAGCTGGGTTGTTGGAGACACTATCACCTCCTAAGCTTAACCCAACTCTAACATTTGGGTGTTTGTTTTTAATGGAGGAAACTTGGGTAGGAGAGAGATTTATAGTGTCCCAAAAGACGTTGAATTTGCCATTTGTGGGAGTTGGGGATGATGTTGAATTTGTGTAATCGATTGCGAAAGAAAGAATGAAATCAAATTGAAGATTTGGGTTGATGGGTAAATCTGAAAATTTGACGTTAGTGAATTCTGCTCCTATGTATTCTCTAAATAGTTTGATGTTTTCTGCTTTGGTTGGTGAAAGAAAGATGGTGAAGATGATGAAGATTAATGTTAATGCCATGGTTTAGGTTTATGAATGTTTAATCTGGAAATGGTGGAACTAACCTTTATACTCCATTCAAAATATTAAAGAAATGTAGAGTTTTTTTTTAAAAAAAAAAAAAAAAAAAAAAATAAAATAAAATAAAATATTAAAGGTCAAAATTGGACTTAAAAAAGTGTAGAATTGTCAACCGACAGCCGAATGTTGAATCATGGGATTGATGGGAAAGATATTTGGCCTACCAGTGATTTATTACGGAATTTAAAATTAATTTTTACACACTCATTGTGAATTTGTGATAATATCATAATAGTATTGATCAAAGTTAATTTTGATAAATTAAGTGAAGGAGTAGATTTAGGATTGTTACATCAAGGTTGTTAAGAATTACATGTACTTCATATATTACTAATTTTTTATTTCATTTTCGAAATCTTATCTTATGAAATGTTAAAAAAAAATCTTATGAAACATAAAAGGCATGGAAAAGAAAACTGTTATTCCATTATCTTTACCAACCCCTTCTTTTCTCCATTAATTATCGCTACCAATGTATTTTTTTTTTCTTTATTGTGGATATACTCTTTATGTTGCTTTCCCTATTTAAAACAATGGGTACACATCACACATGGATAAATACAAAGAATTTTATACTTGTAATTCTTTCATTCCAGTAACCATTGTAATTGCATATCATGTTATAGTGCAATCTATAAATCAATAGTTTGTAGTCTATACGATGATAGATTAAACTAAGATGATCGAATTTGTGACACCAGAAATTATGAATCACTAAATCAAACCGCCTTTCAAATAATATTGAAAATGATTGTTTCATACATGGTTATGGACCTTATGGCCCAATTGTTACCACACAAGAAAAAATTAATATATTGCTCCTTCCACTAGATCATTCATTATATTTCATTTGGTGGAATTTTCGTCACTTTTATTTAGAGAATAGTTTTTCAACTTGTATGAATTGTATCTTTCTCAGTAGAGCTGATAATCACTAGCACGATACGATAACATGACCGAAATCGACACAACAAGACACAAAATCAGCCAAAACACAACCCATTTAAAATAAGTAGTTAAATTGTACAATTATCTTACATTTTACATAATTTTTGCTAGCTCTACTCCTTAGTCC